TGTGGCTATAAACTAAACAAGACAGAAGAAGCCACTGTTTTCTTAGATTGTAGTCTGAGGTTTAAGCAGGGGCTCATGAACTGGTTTCATGTATGTTTTTACAAGATCGCTCTGGCTGCTAGAAGGAGAATGGGGCAAGAGAAGAGGGAGGTGGATTAGTTGAGAGGATTTTGTTGTATTGTAGGCAAGGAATGATGGTAACTTGGCTCATCAAGGGTGAGCGACGTGAAAGGGATGAGGAAGCTGGGTTCAGGATACATTTTGAAGTAAAAGCCATTTGGCTTTTGCCATCAGATGGGTTGTAGGCACTGAGAGAGAGCTGAAGATGATTCCCAGTTTTTCGGCCCAAGCAGCTGGATGAATGGAAACACCATTGTTTGTGTAGGGGAGCCACATGGGAACAACAGGCTTGGGAAGGAAGGCAGATCAACGTTCTGTTTTGGCTGCTTTATGTTTGAGATGTCCTTTATGTTTGAGATGGCTTATTCCCGCAGCCATGTCCAGGAGTGGAGGCTGGGTGGATGTGGACCTCAGAAAAGTTCAGGCACTCCATGCAGTTGACTACCCCAACCCAGCTGACTCACAGGTAGATCAGCTGGACCAGAGTTAAGGTTTCTGGCCTGTTTGAGCCAGCAGTGATTGACTGTACATTGTGTGGACCTGGAGGAGACACACGTGTTTTCTCTAATGTGTGCTCCCGAGAGTGACCCAACCCCCTAGTGCCCCTCCCACAGAGGAAACCCCCCAGGCAGAGGACATGGGTCCTCAGGCTCCAAGAGACACCCCTAGTGGCCGACCAGAAGAGGTTTTGATCAGCAGACAACCTATTAGGTTACTTAACTTCCCTATCCCCACTGCCTACATCTGTGGTTGATAATAGTAAATACCTTGAACAGCCAGGCACTGTTATAAGCACGTTAATGTATTATCTTGTTAATCTTCTGTGCCTCCCATGTGGAAGGCACTCGTACTATCCCCATTTGATACAGTGTGGGCTGCCAGGCTGGCCTGGCCTCTGACCTGCTGGTGCCAACAGGCTTCCCCTTCCTCATCCCTGCTCCTGCTGCTCCTCTAAGGCCCCCTTCCCTTCCTTGCTAAGCCTGGCACAGTGACGGGGTTTCTGCTTAGCCCTCAGGGCCTGATTATTCTCCTCTGACACCTGTAGAGCTGAGGGAGCACCAGCCTGGCTCTCTGCTTTGGGGTCTTCAGTCAAGTACCATTTAGAAAAGGCAAGGCCCCCTTCTAGCTTGACGTCTGAAGCACCCTGGCAATCCCCAGAGAATTTACTGAACAAAGCTCGACAAAGATCCAAATCATGGGAAGAGAAAGCCTCACGGTTCTTAGTACTGGGTACAGTATGTCCCCTGGATTAGGGCAAAAGCTGCCCAGCAGATCCACTTGCTTCTGCTATGTTTCATCAAGTCTTCTTTTGGGTCATTTAGTGATGTTTAAACATTTTCTCTATATCCTTGTACACTTTTTGTTAAACTCATTGCTAGTATCTTTATCTTTTCATTTTTCATTTTTTTGAGAGGGAGTCTCATTCTGTCACCCAGGCTGGAGTGCAGTGGCACCATCTTGGCTCACTGGAACCTCCACTTCCCAGGTTCAGGCGATTCTTCTGTCTCAGCCTCCTGAGTAGCTGGGATTATAGACATGCACCACCATTCCTGGCTAAGTTTTGTATTTTTAGTAGAGACAGGGTTTTGCCATGTTGGCCAGGCTGGTCTCGAACTCCTGACCTCAGGTGATCCACTTGCCTCCGCCTCCCAAAGTGCTGGAATTACAGGTGTGAGCTACTGTGCCTAGCTAGTATTTTATCTTTTATGTTGCTGCTTAAATATAAAAAAATTCTGTGCCTGCTAGCTGGTGGTTGTTTATATATATGAAAACTATAGGTTTTGCATACTTACTTTGTATCCAACTGGAGTAGTGAACTCTTTCATTGTAAGCAGTGGATTTTCAGGGATGAAACAGATCTATCTTGTTGAGAAGTATCCATATACTCCTACTTTAGTATGTGTTTTTATGAAGATTGGCTTATTGGTTTTGTCAAATGCTGTTTCAGCATCTATGAACATGATTATATGATTTTCTCTTTAGAGCTAGTAATAAGATAAATTATGTTAATAGCTTTTCTAATATTGAATAGTCTGAGCATTCCAGGAGTAAATCCTACTTAGTCATGATGTATTCATTTTATTTTTTATTTTAAAATTTTATTTATTGAGACAGAGTTTCACTCTGTCACCCAGGCTTGAGTGCAGTGGTGCAATCTTGGCTTCCTGGGTTCAAGTGATTCTCCTGCCTCAGCCTCCCAAGTAGCTAGGACTACAGGTGCATGCCACCACACCTGGCTAATTCTTGTATTTTTAGTAGAGATGGGGTTTCACCATGTTGTCTAGGCTGGTCTCAAACTCCTGATCTCAAGTGATCTGCCCGCCTCGCCCTCCCAAAGTGCTGGGATTACAGGAGTGAGTCACCGCTCCCAGCTATGTATTAGTTTTAATGAGTTATTGGATTTAGAATTGATGACCTTATATGAGACTGATTTATAGTTGGTTTGTTTTTATACACTTGGACAGATTTTTAAAAAATTATTATATTGGCTTTATGGAAAGAATTTGAAAACTTGCCTCATTTTTTCATGCTCTGAAACGGTTTGCACTATTAGAATTCTGTTCTTTGAGAGTCTGATAGAATTCCTCAGCTTTTTGATGCTCCTTTTTGGGGGTCAACTCTCACAACTTGCTCTTTTTCCTATAGAATAGATCTGTCTTGATTTTTCTCTTTCTTCTGCATTAGTTTTATTGTTATATTTTCCTAGAAAATTGTTCATTTCCTTCATATTAATAAGTTGTAGTTTTCTCTGTATCTGTGGCTACTGTCCTACAATTGGTTATTATGTGTGTATGTACTTTAGTTCTTTCTTTCCTCACTGGCTATTAGTGGTTTGTTGCCTGTTGGGTTCCCCTGGGGGGAGGACTGTGAAGGGGAGCTGAGTGTCCAAACATTTATCAGGCAATGCCACTGAAATAAACACCTGTGAAAGGGAGGGGAAGGAAGTCGGAGAGAACAGAAGGAGAAGTTTTGCTGTGATGAGTTCCAGAAAACCTCTGGTGACCTCATGGGCAGCTCTGGAACTAGAATAGCCCTTCACTGTTGTTTCCTATTAGTCTGGGATGTCTAGGCTTCTGTTCCTGCTTTGAACAGCTAGTGGAGACACACCGCTCCAGAAAGGGGTGCAACTTTGAGTGAGGGGCTACCTGCAGCACAGCATAGGAGAATGAAAATCAGCTTCCCCCCATCCTTCTTGGTGCCTTGGCTGGGCTATGAATTAAACGAACCTAAAACAGTTCAACAGGAGAAAATTGTATTTAATTGTGTGCGCATCCTGGGGAGTCCTATAAAATATGAGACTAGAAGAAGGGTCAATCAATTGAAGCTTAGACAATATCCTGAGCTACAAGATGAAGGGGAAGCTTATACAGTGTATTAGTCCACCTTGCGCTGCCATAAAGAAATACCTGACTGGGCACAGTGGCTCACACCCGTAATTCCAGCACTTTGAGAGGCTGAGGCGGGCAGTTCACGAGGTCAGGAGTTTGAGACCATCCTGATCAACCTGGTGAAACCCTGTCTCTACTAAAAATACAAAAATTACCTGGATGTGGTGGCATTTGCCTGTAATCCCAGCTACTCAAGAGGCTGAGGGCAGAATTGTTTGAACCCAGGAGGCAGAGGTTGAGTGAGCCAAGATTGC